CACTGTAAGACACTGTACTGTAACACCGGTCCAGCACGCACACATAAGTGGTTCCTGTTATCAGTTTTAAATTACACTTGTAACTCCTTATCGTGTTTCACTGTTTAAAAGTCCACTGGGTTAATGTGAAGGATTTGTAATACTGGTATCACAAATGTTTAAATCTAAAGCATTTCTGAGTGTAGGACTTGCCTTTAAGCAATAAAATATATCTGTTCACTCTCTCGTAAGCTGATTCCCGATTTCTAAAAATGGTTTTAACAGAATTTAACAGTGTGGGTCTGCTGTTCTCTGTGATGGACTAGGTCATTGCTTACCGTTGGCCAGGAGTTTTCTTAGAGTTTTGGAATTGTGGGACAGTGTGTGGGAGCCAGGTTGTCATCTTGTGGTTGGTTAGTCTTCTTTGATTTTTTACAGATCCCTCAGAATTTGCCCTGTTCAGTCACCTTGCAGCCTGGACCAGAGGACACTGGCAAGGTGAGGCACTGGCATGTGGGCAGGCAGTATTAAGCAGGCGGTAGTTAGAGAGGTTTGCCTGTATTACAGAAGGCACGCCTTATTCCAGGGATTCCCTCTTTCAATTCTGTCCTTCTGTTGGTCTGTCCACAGGCCTGTGGGGTGGACTTCGAGATCAGAGCCTTTTGTGCCAAATCTGTGGAAGAGAAGATTCATAAGAGGTGTGTGCACGTGTGTCTCTGTCTCCCAGCTGCAGCTGCAGCATGCATCCGAGAATCCGAGGGTCCAGTGTTACAGGTCTCCACGGGTCCAAATATTTCAATAACCCAGAACCAGCCATTCCTTTCCCCCAGTGTGCAGCTGCACGGCGGATTGTCAGACTGAAGGTTTTCTGTCAAGTCTAAAAGAAACCCACAGTTGTCCATCTCCTGCTCACATTTCTCAAAACTCCCGACTTCCCAGTTCACCTGATCCAGTCCTTCCTCAGTCTGTCTGTGCTGCGGCCCCGACAGTTCCCACACTGGTCGGCTGATTTCCTGCTGGATTCTGTTTCACCTCCTTCGTACGCCGGTCCGATCAGGAGCCCCACACAGACTCCCACACAGCTCTGCTTTGTTCTCTCGGACTGCCGAGTCGGAATTAAACCAGCAGACTCCTGACAGTCAGCCCTTCTGGGTTTTGGGTCACACGTGGGATCTCTACTCTGCGCAGATGGGCATGCCTCTGGCGTGTGTGTGCAGTGTCAGAGTCTCTTGGAGAAGAGTGCAGATTTTTCACCGCCTACCTGTGTTCCCCAGGAACTCTGTGCGGCTGGTGATCCGCAAGGTGCAGTACGCCCCGGAGAAGCCCGGCCCACAGCCCATGGTGGAAACCACACGAAGCTTCCTCATGTCGGACCGCTCGCTGCACCTGGAAGCCTCCCTGGACAAGGAGGTACAGTACACCTTCTCCCCCTCCCACACACGCCCAGTCCCGCGCCTCCTCCCCCTCCCACACACGCCCAGTCCCGCGCCTCCTCCCCCTCCCACACACGCCCAGTCCCGCGCCTCCTCCCCCTCCCACACACGCCCAGTCCCAC